AATGATTTTTGAATTTTGAGCTGATTCTGAGCTTGACCATCTTGGTCGAATGGAGTACAACTATCCCACCCCTAGGATTTGTTGTAGAACTACTTTTTTCTTGAAGAAGAAGAAGGTCTCTAGTTTCATAATCAGAAATAAAAGTCAAAATTATTAGGAAGTTCTTACTCTTGTTATGGCTCAAAAACTTGAAAATCGTTGTTTTGAGGAAATTTCTGATTTTTTCTCCCTGAAGAAGTCGAGTTTAGGAAAAAAAGTTAAGAACTGAAAAAATACTCAAAATAGTGTTTTTCTTTACATTTCCAAACGTTTTGAATGAAAATTTCTAACAGAAAAAAATTAATTTTTTTCAGCTTTCTACTGTCTACAGTATCTTTTAAAAGTTATGAGCCACTGAACCTGTGTTAAATAATCAGGAAAATGTGTGTGGGAGCTGTGATCGATATTTTGAGAAAATCAAAAAACTTTTTTTATTTTGCTTGTGATTCATCGACTTTCTCAGAGAACGCGTGTAAAAAGATCATTTAAAAATTAAAATCAAAATTTTTTTGAATTTCTAGTCACGAGGAACATGAAAAAGCTACAAAAAAACTGATGCCTGTATTATTGAGAAATTGGAATAAATTTGTAAATGATTCAAAAAAACTCCTGAAAAATTCTAGAAACTAACTTGAACTCGTCGAAGCCAACGCTCTTGTTTTTCTGATTCAAAGCGCGACTCGCGTAGTGTTTGTGAGAGGATAGCTTCTTGTCCAGCTCACCAAGAAAGACCTGGAAAAAATCATTGAAGTTCAAATTATCCACATCATGTAACTGCTAAAAAGCCAGTTTTTTTTTCTGTTAATCACCTTGTCAGTGACGTTTCCGACGGAGGCGCAGGCTTCATCTAAAACTGAGAAAATTCCAGTTCGTGGCATTTCGACCAAGTCGCAAATCACCTAAAAAATGAAATATATTAAAACGAATTAAAAGTTGTGTTGAAAAAAAATTCAAAAATAAAAGTCATCTTTAAACACACAAAAACCTCTGAGAGTTACAAACAAACGGAACATTTTTTTGAAGCTTACAAAATACAGAAACTTCAAGTCGAACTTCCGATTTCCGACATGAAGCTCAAAAGTACCACAGGAACGATTGGTTCAAACAAATTATTTTTGAACTCGCTCTAAATGGAGATCGAAAGGTACCTTATTGTTGAAGTAGTCGACTTTGGTCCACCGGATTCCCTCGCGCTCGTACTCCTCCTGCTCCTGTTTCAGAACCAGCTCGATGAACAACTGCTGGAGTTTCTCATTGCAATAGTTGATGCAGAGTTGCTCGAAACTGAAAATTTTTTCTGGAAATAGATCGCAAAAAAAAATGAAACCTTTCGGCATGTCTTGGGGACTTTTTTTTTTAGTACAAAGCTTGAAAGTTTGCGAAATTCGAAAATCACGGGAAAAAGCGCTGTTTCAAGCTTTCGAAGCCCTTTTAACACGACAACCAGATCTATTGCGGAATTTTTTTTTATGGAAACAGGAGGTCCTAAAGTTCATCCCTTCTGGCCAACTTTCAGAAAAATCGGAAGTTATAGGCAAAACTATCTTTCTCGTAAACTGAATTATAAAAAAACTTTGGAAGTTCAAATGATTGCAGTTTGCAACACTCGAAGAAAAACACTGATTATTTGATTTTTTTTCTTCTTAAAACTTCACAATTTATGTGTAGATGTACAGTACCGCTCAAAAGTATATTAAGTTTTGGTTTTTTGAGGATATCTCAGCGAGTACTTATCCGATTTATATATAACTTTCAGGGATAATGTGCAATATACTTTTGAAACATATACGGCATACAAAGACATGTCCGCAATCACTGTGACGCGTTTTTAGGCATTTTTTTATTGAATTCAATTTTTGTTTTTTTTATGCTTTTGTTTTTTTATTTGTTTTTTTATTAAATTTTTAAGAGTAATAATGTTGCCATATGATTTTTTTCATGTTTTCAGACATGGTAAGAACTTCTGAAAAAAAGGATTTGACTGATAACGACAAAAGAGCCACTGTTGTGGGTCGTCAAAATGGACTGATCCTGATGACGTTGGCAGGAATGTTCGGCGTGACAGAGGCGTGTATTTCTCAGTTCCTAAAGCGTTGGAAAGCTCAAGATGGCTCTACTAAGAGCCAACGCACTGGAAGACCACGTGTCACTCATCTTAATGACGATAGAAACATTTTGAAGACGCCTAGAACCAATCCAAGACTCACCGCCCTTGCCATCAGACGGGAAGTTTTCTTGAATTCGCCATCTCCGCCATCCGTCTCGACCGTGAAACGACGTCTGAATGCTGCTGGAATCATGGGAAGACGTCCAGTGAAGAAACCGCTGATTTCTGAAAAGAATCGAGCCGCCAGGGTGAAGCGGGCGAAGGAGCATCTCAACTGGACGCGTCAAGGCTGGAACAAGATTCTGTGGTCCGACGAAAACAAGTTCCTCCTCTTCGGGAGTGACGGAATTCAGTGGGTTCGTAGACCAATTAAGTCCAGATATCATCCGAAATACCAATTACCCACTGTGAAACATGGTGGAGGACCGTTTCGTCGGACCACAGAATCTTGTTCCAGTCTTGACGGGTCCACTTGAGATGCTCCTTCGTCCACTTCCCCCTGGCGGCTCGATTCTTTTCAGAAATCAGCGGTTTTTTCACTGCACGTCTTCCCATGATTTCAGCAGCATTCAGAAGTCGTTTCACGGTCGAGACGGATGGCGGAGATGGCGAATTCAAGAAAACTTCCCGTTTGATGGCAAGGGCGGTGAGTCTTGGATTGGTTCTAGACGTCTTCAAAATGTTTCTATCGTCATTAAGATGAGTGACACGGGGTCTTCCAGTTCGTTGGCTCTTAGTAGAGCCATCTTGAGCTTTCCAACGCTTTAGGAACTGAGAAATACACGCCTCTGTCACGCCGAACATTCCTGCCAACGTCATCAGGATCAGTCCATTTTGACGACCCACAACAATGGCTCTTTTGTCGTTATCAGTCAAATCCTTTTTTTCAGAGGTTCTTACCATGTCTGAAAACATGAAAAAAATCATATGGCAACATTATTACTCTTAAAAAAATTTAATAAAAACAGAAAAGCATAAAAAAACAAAAATTGAATTCAATAAAAAAATGCCTAAAACGCGTCACAGTGATTGCGTGACATGTCTTTGTATGCCGTATATGTTTCAAAAAATATATTGCACATTATCCCTGAAAGTTATATATAAATCGGATAAGTACTCGCTGAGATATCCTCAAAAACCAAAAACTTAATATACTTTTTGAGCGGTACT